GGTGAGAGGGACATCTGTAATACTTTCAACAATAAAGATAATTTTTTAAATTAAAAATTAAATTTAAAGGGCCTCTTGAAATTTTCCTTCTTTATTATTTATTAAATTTTCCACAATACATCTCTTCCTTATATTGATCATAGATCTTATCCCTATTATTTGTTTCATGCTATCTTAATTTGAATTCATTTTGCACAAATATACTTGTTAAGGGAACATAGAATTTTATTTTATTTTTTTTGCACATCACTTGACTTGCTCTAATTTTTCTTCTTGGAACTTATATTCTTGTTCTCTTATTTTTGCATTTTTAATAGGGCTCAAGAGAATATGTGAAATATCTTCTCATTCTCCTTTTTATTGCATGAGAAACAGTTTTTAAAAAACACAAAATGAAACATAAAAGGAGGGACATTAAAATGACCCCTAGAATCAAGGCTAGGTTGTAGAATTTGGGCTGCTTTTTATTTTCTCTTTCATGTTCTTTATTATTCCAGTGTTCCTCAATGAATATTTATTACTAATAAAAATATTGTTAAAATACTTTTTACCTCCACTTCTTTATAAAAGGAATGAAATGGCCTGGGAAAGGACACAGACAGCATTTACATAACCACAGGAAACAAATTCTACTGTTCATACGTTTACAGGTTTTCTTTTCATGCAACAAGTAATAGGTTGTTGTTCAGCCTCTAACTCATGAATCTCACTTTTAAGTGATATTCAGTCCTTATGCTTCATCGGCAATAAAACGATCAATCACTTTCTTTTGGAAGGTCCTTCAGACCCACAAGTGTGGTGGGAATTTATACTTGATCCTCATGCACACGGGCAGGGTCTCTCACTCTTTAACCAACGGGCAGAAACGCCTGCAAGTTGCTTTATTCAGGAACAAATAGGAAGGTGAAACGGTTCTATTTCTGTCCCAAGTGACCTCAGGCAGTTTCTTTGGTAAAGAGTCTGTTTCTATGGAAAAGGTTTGCAGAGAACACTGGGGCTGCCCAGCTCAAATGTGGTGCCCTTTTTGGAATCGTTAGGAATGGATGATGGTGCGTTTGGATCAACTTCAAAGCATCGTCTGCCAAAGAAAATAACTCAGACGCTGTCATGTCGGGCAAAGCATTTGCCTCTTCTGGAAGTTTCCAGACCTCCTCTCTTATTATCAAGACAACCCTTGACACCCTGATCCAGCTTCGGTGCAGCCGGCTGCCCTGTGAACAGGAACGCGGGGACCTCTTCACTGAGCAGTCACCCCGAAGGTCCCAGGACTCTGTGAAGACCCGGCTCTCCTCTCTAGTGCCTCCCCTGCCCCTTCCCCACTCCCCTCCGCCCCCCTGGGACCAATCCTCCCCAGCACCCAGAGGCCAGGTCTGCCTTCAGCTGCAGGCACAGTCTCTATTCCTGTCTCTCTTTCGCACTTGACTGCTCTGTCCCTCGTACTGGGTCCTTCCGGCTGGTTGTGGGGTCCCTCACCCACCAGACCGCTTGTTTGCATGAGCTCCTGAGAAGGCAAAGAGCTGGGGCTCTGGGGTTGGATCCTGGCTCAGCCCCTCAGTGGCCCTGGGGTCTTGGGGAAGTCCCTCAGCACCTCTGGGAAAGCGGGTAGTGATGGGCCCGCCCCACAGAGTCACTGTGGGAACAAAGGTGAGGAGTGCTGGGCCCGGGGTCTGAGAGCACCCAAACCTGCGCCAGCTGGAAAGAACGAAGCAGCCAGCATTTACTGAGCATCTAGTTACGTTTCATGTGGTTCTAGTTCATTCCTATAAACCTCCTCTGAAATGTGTGTGACCGACAGGGTAAACATAGGACTGAGGCTCAGCGAGTTCCAGTGACAAGAGCTGATGGGGTTGCAGATACACCTTGTGCCAGACTGTGCTCCTCTCTGCTTCTCTGTGCCCTTCTATTCAATCAGAGGACGACTCCAAGCACAGTGTCCCCCAAGCGCTCTGCTGGATATAATTAGACACAATAACCATCGAGTCTTTGGGTGCAATTACTGTTTATCCACTTGGCTAATAAATAATCACAGCCAAGTAAAAAAATCCCAGTTACTGAATATGTAAATGCATATTTACATATGGGTGATAGTTGACAAGGTGAAGGGCGGTGGCCTTCTCTAGTCGCAGTTCACCTTCCGAGGTTTCAGCTCCACGGTCCCAAAGTATTAAATAGAAAATTTCGGAAATAAGCAATTCATATGTTTTAAGCCGCTCACTGTTTAAAACATATGATCAACTGGCTATCAGACCAGTTGCCAGGAAGGGAAAGTGAAAGGCCGCATTTAGATAACTTTTATGACAGTATGTTGTTATAATTGTCCCATTTTATTATTAGTTATTGTTAATCTCTTCCTGTGCCTAATTTATAAATTAGACTTTACCATAGGCATGTATGGAAAGGAAAAGTATAGTCCCCACAGTGTTCAGTGCCATCTGCGGTTTTGGGTGTTCACTGGGGGTCACAGGACGCATCCCCTGTGGAGAATGGGCTTCCTCCCCGTGAACACAGGCTCGGGGGCTGCTGAGCTCCGGTGGCCTGCCCCTGGCCTTAGCATCTGCGAAAGGCTGGCTGCAAAGCTGTAAATGGAAGTTTGGCTTCTTTTCCAAACTGGGCACTTTGCTGCCAAGTGGGGAAGGAATTAGCCTTCTGGTGCCAGCTGGCCGGATCCCGGGAGGCCACGGTGTCCAGCCTGGGAGAGGAGAAAGCACGCTCAGCCCTCACCCAGGGGTCAGGCTACCCAGACTTTTGAGGCCCTCTTTCTGTGTGTGCTGGTCCAGGGAGGAGCGGGAGTCCCGCAGATGGGAGAGGACCTGGCAGGCTCCAAGGAGGCCACAGACTCAGGAAGAGGTTTCCTCTTCCCTTGGTCACGAAAGGAGGTGGGTGCCTGTGTCCGCCAGCGGTGCCACCCCCCGTGATCACCGAAATGCTGACCTGTGTTCATTTGTGACCCACCTTCGGGCGAACCATTTTATAGAAAGAGATGTGCCTACTACACGTCGCTTTGTATGTGACCCAGCAACGCTGCCTTAGAGTTGCTTTGCAGTGTATTTAAATACCGAATGGGCGGTTGCTTCATGTCATACATCATATTCTCACCCTCATGTGTGTACTGAGTGCTGCTCCCGCTGCCCGGGCATCTGTGACTTCAGGCTGGAGGGGAGACCTCTCATTTTATCTCTTACTGCCTCTCAGATCTGGGGCTGGTTCCAGCTATCCCATCACCCTCCCAAGACCCCCGGAACCCCAGGAATGGCACACGTCCTCCATCCCTCCGGCACAGAGAGTGGGAGGAGACCGGAGACCCACACACAGGTCCGATGGGGCAGGGCTGTGCAGTGAATGGGAGGAAAAGCAGGAGACAGCAGTCATGGCCGCTGAGGGAGGAGGTCTTCAGGTGGTCAAGGGCACTAAAAGCCACGGCAGTTTAGGTAAAATGACAGCAGAGTTATACCCATGGAGTTTGGCGACATGGAGGGCACAGGTGATCTGGGAAAGAGCCACTTCAGTGGGCACAGAAACCCAACTCTAGCAGTTATTTATTGCAGAGCCTAGAGGCCACAGGTACCTGGAGAAGTTTGTGGAATTAAGACCGTTTAAATCAATGAATCTTAATATCTGGCATTATGGCAGCAAAACCCAGAGGTTCTCCTGGGCCTGGGGCAGGAGTCAGGGTCTGAGTGGAAATGTGGGCGTGAAGTTGGACATCAACAATGGGCCAGTTTAATGATGAAGACGAGAAAAGTCCAGACAGAAAGAGTCCCCAGGAAAGCCATTCTAGAGGAAATTTGAGGGGCCTGAAGAAAATTGTCTGCATCTTCTAATATCATACAGTCAGCATCATAATGAAATTACCGTAACTTTGAAACAACGGAACCAGGCAACAAAAGCCTTGCCCCAAATGTACATGAGAAAGGGTCCTGCCTTGGCGTCACGGTCACTTAAATGTCCGTTTACTAATAAGGGTTCAATGTAAAATGCAAGTCATTTTGCTTCCAGAATGGTCTCAGGCACCAAGAGCGTAAGCAAAGACAAATGGTAGGTCCTTGGCACCTTCCCCGAGGAGCCCCCATGACCACAGCTCCGTCAGGAGCTCGGCCATTGCTGCAGGGTAGGGTTTCTCAAAGACAGGCGGGCTTGGAGGTGAGCCCAGGCAATGCCTGTCCAAGTTCCTTGACCTCAATTTGGAAATCACTCATGTCTCATCTTACAGACAAAGAAGCCCACACACAGGGCACTGGATTATAGGATCTAGGCATCCAACCACCATGTAAATGAAAGCTCACTAGATTGGCAGTTTCAGATATGTCTACATGGGTAATAACATACTAACTCGTGAGCCATGCACACAGTTTCGGCTATGTCTACATGGGTAATAGCACATTAACTTGTGAGCCGTGTGCACAGTTTCAGCTATGTCCACATGGGTAATAGCACATTAACTTGTGAGCCGTGTGCACAGTTTCAGCTATGTCTGCATGGGTAATAGCACATGAACTTGTGAGCAGTGCACACAGTTTAAGCTGTGTCTACACGGATAATAGCACATTAATTTGTGAGCCGTGCACGCAGTTTCGGCTATGTCTACACGGGTAATAACACATTAACTCATGAGCCGTGCACGCAGTTTCTGCTATGTCTAGAATAAAATTATGGGACACCTCAATGCTTAGGGTTTTATTATTGTGGTTTTTTAAAGGAAAAGGGGGATAATATATGGATCATAAAGATTTACTTTCAGTTCCTTTGCACCCTGCACATTTATGTCCAACACTTCGCACTGAGCCTTTCTACGTTAAGGAGCAACAAAGGCGGTGGGCAAGAATCTGTTCCGAGACCACGGCTCTGCCTCTGAATGGCTAGTTGACTTTGGAAATGCTACTTTGCCTCTGAGTCTGTTCCCTCAGCCTCACAAGGTCATTATGAGAATTAAATGTGATAATTCAGGGGAAGTGCTTAGCTCAATGCCTAACACAATAAACACCCACCAATTTCAGTTGCGATTGGATGAATATTGTTTTTGTTTATTACACTATTATTCTCATCATTATTGCATCAGAATCACTTGCGTCTAAGCAAGCATATAATCAGGTAACTGCCTGTCTTTGTGTGCCTTATTCTTCGGGTCTGTCCAAAGCCCAAGGCACATTCCCTGGTGACGATCAGGCCCCGTTGCTCATTGCCGTTTACGAGGTTTGAGAGGTGAGAGCCAGCTCTGCACTTGGAGCCGGCACAGCTCTGCACAGACCCGAACAGTGTGTGCTTTCCCTGCGACCCCAGAGAGAACCTCTCCATCCTGCCTCTCCAGCAGCCTGCGCTGCCTGTCAGCCTGGCCCAGCTTTGAGGACAAAGCACAGTGCATTAGCATGAGGGGCACAAATGAACTTTCACCCCACCGCGCTCTCTGGGTCCGTACAAGGATTTCTAAGAACCGTTTTGTTTGTAGCCGTCATTATCACGCTGGCGGATGACACACGCTAGCTTCCCTTGCCATGGCGTACATTCCAGACCCAGACCCAGGGTTAGTCAACTTTCCTACAGAGGATGAGATAGTAACTATGTGAGGCTTTGCCGACTACACACAATCCTGTTTCACCACCTTCTTTGCTTTTTTCCCACAGCCCTTTAAAGATATGCAACCGGTGGACTGCACGTAAACGGTCTCTGGGCCAACACTGGCCCACGGGCGACAGTCCCCGACCCCTGTTCCAGATCCCGGTTTCTCTGTATCAGACAGCTTGGCCCTGGAGGAGAAGACACACTGAAGTTCTTCTCTTTGCCAGATCACACTGAAAGGCCGTCTCCTTGCAGCGGCAGGAAACGGGGCCCTTCAGAGATTTAATCGGAAGGGAAGAGGCACTTCGTTGCAGTGCCTTCTGAAGCACACGGTGTGTCTTCACACGCGCTCGCGCACATATGGTCTCCGTCTTCCACGTGAGTAGAAACATCTGACCTTTTCCAGCTCGTTTCCCTGGGAACAAATGTTAAAACACAATGTATATTCTCAACGAGCTCCAGGCTCCTGGCTGATGCAACGTTTTACGAGTGGACCCTGGAGGGTGTTTCATTTCCATTAGTGCCTGCCTGGCTGGCTGTCTCTCCCACCCCGTCCGCTCTCTGTGTGTCCCCTCGGTCACATGTGCTCTTCCTGTCTCCCCCCTCCATCTCCTCCCTCCTCTCACCGCCTTTGTGCTGCTCACTCCGCGGCCTCGGAGCCGAAGGGCCCACATCTGGTTTCCATCCACCGCGCTGTTTCACTGAAGCCCGGCCGACCCAGGTTTCCTGTTCATAAATCATTACTCATCTGGAACGCACTCGGGACCACTTCGGGGACTGTTTACTCAGCGCAGCTCCTTTTTTAGAAGAAGTTTCCCTTCCCCAGCGTTTCAAGTTGGCTGCCATCTTCTCCGTTGATAATTTTCTCAATTTATAGTTTTTGAAAAGTGAACAAAAGGGGAATTCACTTGGATAAGGCGTTTGAACAAATTGCATAAAAATTAGAGTTGGGTAAAACGTAAGAGTTTATAATACTAAACGTGGTGAAAAAAACTGGAAGTACACATACTGTACTGAGGAGATGTGATATTTGATATTTTAAATAAACTTTTCGGAAGTGGAGGTCGTTAACACAATCATAGCTTTGTGCCAGGTCGTGCTTGAACTCACTGAATTCTCTCAACAACCCTACCAAATAGGCACGATTGACCTTACTTTACAGATGAGGAAACTGAGGCACAGAAAAGATAAGTAGCTTGCCCATGCCGCTGGTATGTGGCAGTCCTGTGGCAGGTCCCAGACAACCTGGCACCAGAGCCCATGGTCTCAAGTGCCTGATGTGGTTTCTTCAACTATATGGCTCAAAATTTGGTATTGTCTCTATCCTGATCTTTATTTCTTCAGTCTCTCTCTTGCTCTGAAAATATCTTTTTTTATTGGTTCAGTTTCTTTAACATAATTTGTGCCACTTTCACTGTGTTAAGTGGGGTGCATAAATCATGGTGAAGGATGTACACATAGAATAAAAGAAGAAAATTATCTTCTATTTATTTTTACAGGCAGTATCCAGATGGTATTTAGTCTCTAGTCTCTAGTTTCATAAGCCAACTGAAGAATCATAAAAAAATTCCTCTATTGCTTAGTGATTTCTGTTATTCATAAGCAAAATATTTATAACTAAGAAAAATCAGAAATTCGTTATCAGTAACTGATTCTAACATAGGGAATTGGCTCAATAGAGGTGGGTAACAGTCCTCCAGGTCTCTCCATCCGGGAAGGAGAGCTGGCAGCTGCTGTGATCCCCTGAGGCTCGGATGACATGCCTCCTGAGCCTGGGACTTCATAGTACATGATAGCAAATCATGTTTTCCTGCTATCTATGCACTGGGTCATATTAGGAGTGGGTAAGTAAGTACTTGACCCAAACCGGGCAGCTGGACCACTTCATCATTCCTCAGAAACTGGCGTGAGGGAGTCCCGTAGCCATGGATCTGCATCCCAGTGGTGATGCAGGTAAAACAAGCCATGTGTTAAGAGGTTCCACAAGATGGAGGAGGAGGACACTGATGACTATTGCGGGATTTTGTGATGGCTGGGGCAAACTCACCCACAGAGCCTGTTTTTCATAGTAATGATTGATGGTGACTGTCTTTTTACTGAACACACACAATGGGTCAAGTGGGGTACTAGATACTTCACTTGCAAGAATTCTAGAAATAGATATTATTACTATCTCCACTTTATACATGGAAAAACTGACTCAGAGAGGCCACACTGACCCAAGTGGATTAATTTTATATCGATGCTGTAACAAGTACCACAGAGGTAGTGGCTTCAAGCAACACAAATGTGTTATTTCACAGCTCAGGAGGTCAGAAGTTCAAAATGGTCTCACGGTGAAGATTAAGGTGTGGAAGGAGTTGAGTCCCTTCCCCAGGGCCCCAGGAGAGATTCTGTTCCCTTGCCCTTTTCTTCTCTAGAGGCTGCCAGCATTCCTGGGCTCATGGCCACCTCCTCCACCTTCAAAGCCATAGCACTCTCTGCCTTGCTCCCATTATGATACCTCACTGACTGACTCAATCTTCTGTCTCCTTCTGCCTCTTTGGAGGACCCTTGTGATTGCATTGTGTCCACCCGGATCATCCAAGATAATCTCCTGATGTGCCATCTAGCGAACGTAACTCCCCTTTGCTATGTAATGGAACATATTCACCGGTTCTGGGGATTAGGACATGGACCTCTTTGGGAGGCCCTCATTCTATCTACAACATCGAGGTTGCATAGCGAGCCCCTGGCAGAGATTACAGTCAAACACGAGTCTGACTACAAAACTCATATTCAAAACCATCCCATTCTCCAGCCACTCATCTGGTTTCCACACTGCTCCTTCTGCCCCTTGAGTGACTTCCTGAGACCCTGGAGCATCCCTGCATCCACAGCCTCCTCACTCCTTAAAGTTCCAGGTGACTCTCATCTCTGCTGTGGAGCCTCTCCTGAGTAAACTCTCCCACAGAGCGTCCGAGTCCTGCAGTCAAACCCCCGTCTGCAGTCTTCCCAAGTGTTTGTAGACTCTGGAATAAAGGACTGGTTGGTCTCTGTGCTGCACACCTCATCTTCTGCCATCTAGTCATCTGGCTTTATGACTTAGAGATAAAGAGAACACAAGTAATCTTTCTTCTGCCAGAAAGCTTTTCGGTAATGACCAATGACTTCTCACCCCTCATCTTCTCATTGCCACGTGGAAAAGCTCTGGTTCTTTCAGCCGTCCGCAAGGCCAGGACACATTCCCCTGCACACACTACAGTTTACCAGTGGCCCCTTACAGAGCGACAATTCCTTAGGTCGATATAATCAGACCTCCACTTAGATACCACATTTCTATAAGCCATGTGAGGGCAAACTATCATGGGTCTATCATGGTGTTTACTCAAATTTAACTGATACTAACATGAATTAGAAGCATTAAGATATTTGCAACGTGCTACCACTACAAAACTATTTTTTATCTCATATTGGGAGGTAGTTTATTTGTGGGATTTGGGTGAGCAGACCCAAATAAAAGACCTTACATTTATGCCCAGTAAAATGCATTTTTACAGAGTCAGCCCCTTTCCACCAACATCTGATCACTCCCCCTCCCAGTTTCACGCCATTTATAAATATGAAAATCATGACTTATGTGTTTCTGTCCATGAACAGTTTGGAATTGGGTCAGAGCTCTATAACAGAAAGATCAAAAACCTTTGGGTTACTGAGTCAACAATTCCATTGGACCATCAGCCAGTTAGTAATTCACCTCATTCTACCAGCCTCCACCTCATATTTCTCCAGCGTGTCCACAAGTAGATCATGAGAAGCTTGTCAAATGCCTTGATGAAGAACAGATGGTGCCCTGTGTCAACCACATTCCCAGCTAAACTTCTGTGAAAGAAGGAAATGAGATCTGTGGGTAGTGGCAGCTGGAATTAGAGGAGTTATTTCCCCCAAATCTTCCACAAAGTGAAATGCACTGATAGGAATGACTGCCAACCTTACACAAAATGACAATTATAACCTTTAATATTATGGAAACATAGAATCAACGAGCAAAGTCATATAACCAGCTCTGCTTCCTATGCCTGTGGACATGTCCAGGACAACTTCGGTATCCTATCAACGAAATAAACACAGTCAGCTCTTCCTGTGTCTCTGGGTTGTGGCATCACTTTAGCTGAGATAATGAACGTTTGCTATAAAAACCACAGACATGCCCTCCAGCTCTGTGTATTTGAAGCAATCTTGGCATCATCCAAGCACACCTTTCCTATCATCAACCAGCTCAGGAATGCCACACATCTGGCTGCAAACCTCAAGGACGTTCTAGATGCGATAACTTTCTTCAAAATGCACTTACTACTTAGGGACAGTTTGGAGGTGAAGAACAATTCATATAGCTGCAAGAACAATTCATATAGCTGAAAACGAATAGAATAGCACTATTCCCAAGAGAAAGTTAATGTCGCTTTATTTTAATAGAACAACTTTCACACTTCACAACCCAATTTGTATTTATGACATAGCTCTGGCATCTTTGGAATGGCTCATCCAAAGAAAGGCATTAGCCAGTCACATTGAAAGGACACTTCTCAGGTATGTTCTGTCATACCTGGTAGTTAGTGCCATTCAATAACCAAAGAGATGATAAGCACAGAGGATGAGAATGTGTTTTCTCCCCTTTCATTTGAACACACAGAGCAGTTAACTGGAGGCGTGTGAAATGTGGTGAAGCAAGGATCACAGGCAAAAGACCAGCATTCTTCACTCATCTCTTTATGCCTTTGAGATAAAGAGAACACAAGTAATCTTGTGACCTTGACCTGGCCACTCCAAGTCTCAAAACTTAATTTCCTCATCTGTAAAATGGGTTCTTTGTATCTTCTTTACCATGCCAGCCTCTTCTTCATAGTACCTTCTTCATCATTCCACATTCTTTACCTTTGTACTTCTCCGCCATCTACCTTCTCTAACATCTTAAGGAAAACATTTGTTGCTGTGTTAGTCATGGAAAGTCCTGTGGTCTAGCCTGGCTTTAATTTCCTTACCCCTCACAATACTACTGTACCTTCTCCAAATTATACCTTCTCCACCATCATACTTCTCACCACTGCTGTACTTCTCCACCATTCTACATTCTCCACCATCGTACCTGCTCAACACTCTGTACCTTCTCCACAATTCTACCTTCTCCGTCATTCTACCTTTCCCCCATTATACCTTGTCCACTATTGTACCTTCTCTACCATTCTACCTTCTTCATCATTCTACCTTCTCAACACTACTGTACCTTCTCAAAACCATTTTACCTTCTCCACCGTTGTACCTTGTTGTACCTCATCCACTATTGTACCTTGTCCACCATTGTATCTTTTTCACTACTGCACTTCTTTATGGAACTGTTGTGAGGGGTAAGTGAAATAATGTATATAAAATCGCCAACTCTAAAGCCAGGCTAGACCACAGGACTTTCCATGACTAACACAGCAACAAATGTTTTCCTTAAGATGAATCATAGATAATTCATACAAGACCAGCTTCTGTGGATGAGTGAGTATTGCCTTTGATCCCAAGTTTACCATTTGTCATGCTGTCTGAGCTTTCAGTCATTATATCACAATCCCAAGCACATTGACTTGCAGTTAAAATAGAACCTTCTATGATGTATAAGCACTGCAGAATAAACTGAGCATGTCTGTATTTCCAATAACAAAATTCCAAACTTAAGTAATTTGCAACAACATGGGTAGATCTG